TGTAGAGAGAGAGCAATATGGGTATGCTTGATACCAAGCACAAAAAGTTATGATTGATAGTGATGTGTCACATCCCCCTCCACTCATTCAAATATGGGACAACGTTCATATGGGTATTGAGTGGATGAGGATGTGACACATCACTACCAAGAACAAAATTTGTGCTTGGTACCAAGCATACCCATTTTTCTCATATATAATATAAAATAAAAACAGTAGTCCACATTGACTTGAAAGCTTTATTTACCGGTCACGTTTACCGCACAGAGTATCTTTTGTGAATTGAGAATAGCACATTTCTAGAAGGCTGATAACTGATAAGTGATAACCTTGATAAGGTAAATTTAACAAAAGAAACCCTGAACTTACAGGGGGTTAAAGAAACCTCCTGAATTTAATTAGAAAATTTACTCCGAACTTTCAAAAGTATACTAAATTCTTCTAGATTACTGAAAAATAAATGTGACCTACTTGTTGTTGTTCTCACACATGAATACTCTTCGTTTAAAATCTGCATCATAAATTTAACTTATTCTGGTTTAAACTTATTACTCTACGTACCTGTTAATTTCATTAGTAAGGCTTTGAGTAGTTTGAAAGGTATAGCATAGTTTTGGAAGTTCGGAAGAAAGGGCGTTTTTCTTACGTTCTTTTTACGTTCAGTGAGGTTTTTGTAGAGAAAACCCCCAAAGTCCTCGCGTTTTGTAAAATTCATACGATTATTGTTGTCTTCTATCATTCTATGTTATGTACTTAATTTTGTGCATGTATCTTACGCGCATTCGGTCATCAGAGAACAACGCGGTATAAATTTCCACTGTAAATGGAAAAATAATGAAATAAATATTATTCGTTACCTATCAAATTGGACAACCGGCGTTCATTAGGGTCAAGAACAGTCGAGTCTCAATGTCAGGCCAACGAGTCATGTTCCGTTGCCACTTTGAGCTGACAAAGAGACAAGCCCACTCAAGATTCGAGATGCGAATATTGGATGTTTGACATCTTATTTTAGAAGATTCCAAGTTTTGTTGAAAGTAACACAAGAAGTTGCGCGCACAGGTTTATGCACTTAAGTGGTTGTTTCGTCTAAAGAAAATAGAGCTGTAGAAGCAAATATTTCAGTAGATTTATATTTTCAATGTTTTAGTTAGCCACGTAATAATTACTGAAACTAAATATAGTTGGGTCTATTTTGTTGACAGAAAGTTTCAGAAATAAAAAATAAATCAAATCTATTACTTCTAAGATTATAAAATAGGAATTAAGTAATGAAAGTAGAGAAAATAATATTTCTTCTACTTCATTCACTTTTATTGTTTGGACAACAATTATAAATATTTGTTTAGAAGAGAAAGATGATATTTCGGAATCTTGCTTACAAATAAAGAATATTACCCATACAATAAAAAATAATTTTATTTCTAAGTTGACTAAATATCACGTACTTGGCTACTTCCAAGGTACTTCCTTAGGAGAGAAAAAAAATCGAGAAGTAGGAATGACACGAGTGCCAAGTTAGCAATTAAGGAAGTATCGAAAATAGCTTTCCTAAAGAAACAAAACACATTTTTACTCGTAAAAATCGGAAATAATCCCTACTTCCTTACTTCAGCTACTTCTGTGCAAACAAACATGCCCAAATAGAAAAAAACAATAGCAAATGCTTTAATCCATCTAAAAATATTGCCTCTATACTATATGTCCTTCTTCAAACTCCCTGGTTGGCTCATCAAAGATATCGACAAGATCAGACGTAATTTCCTTTGGGGAAGGTTTTCCGATTGCTCTAAGGGCAATCATTCTGTCAGATGGACCTACGCCTGCTCTCCTAAAGCCATCAGAGGGCTGGGGGTTCCCAACGTCCATCTTTTCAACTCTTGCCTCCTCTCTAAATGGTTATGGAAATTCTTTGACAACAACAATCATGTGGGCAGGGTTCTCCGGTCCATTTACCCCTCCAACGTTCTTAATCCCCAATGTCCCAACCAATGCTCCAAATTCTGGAAGGATGTTCATTCA